CTAAGGTCGGCCACCTGTGTACAAAAGGCCCTGAGGTAGGGCAAGAGGTCCGGAGGTGCTCTATCAAGAGCAGTACTTAGGTGGTAGTCTACAGCTTCTGCGGTGCCTCCAAAGAAGATTTGACCTATAGCACCACGTTCTAGAGCTTCAGTGGTCCCAGAGACAAATTGTTGTTGTATGTTGGGGAGGGGAGGAATTGGGCGTACCCCCTTTCCCTATACCCCTTCCTAGGGGCGTAGGCGTGGCCGGAGGCCTCCTTAGAGGAGTCTCCATGGAAGGAATTCAGCTTATTAGGGGAGAGTAAGAGAGATTGAGCGTCCTAGAACAAAAAATTCAATCTACGAAAAAAGGTGTTGTTAAAATCTAATTATATATATATAATTTAATAAGTAAAGAGAAAGATAAGTAATAATTAATAACTTGTTTATCTAAAACCATTAAGAAAATTAACTTAGAATTATCTTCTTCATATATAAACCTTTTTATAATTTAGTTAGAGAATATTTAAAGGGTATTATTCTCTAAAAGAAAGAATAAAAAATAGTAAAAAGAAACTAGATAAGTAATGTATTTAGATTAACTTCTCTACCTAGAAATATACTATATTCTACCTTACGCGGACAAAAAGTAAAGGGGGCGTTGGGCTATTGACTAATCATATCTCTCGCTTTGATTGCCTTATCACAGGTGGGGTATGGTAGATAAGGGGCGTTCGGCTAGCAACCAATCAGCTCTCACACTGTGAAAATTCAAACTAGAAAGTAAACAACACGTCAGGATATTCACAAGCCTTTTGTTAATGATTTGATTCACAAACAATACGTTCTATCTCTGAGTCACAGCCAGATATCGTGCACCAAAGGCTTCTTCCACTCCCCCACATCAGCCATCCTCCTCTCAATAATCAAACGCAGCTGTGAAACCATCAGCAGCTATGAATAACTGTGAGTAACCTAGAAAAGCTATTGCTGGATGTCATCTCTTACTCTTTATAGCTTTGCAAGCACCACCAGAGTGGTCTAACAAGCGTAGCTTGGATTTGGGCCACAAGCTCGCAAGTAAGCGCCCTCGCCTTACGACGGAGCCAGCCCCAGATGGCCAGGAGGAAATGCGCGCCCTCGCTGGCGATTATCTGTCGTCTGTTCCTGTTTTCCTTCTGGAATACAAGCTTGGCTACGGCCACAACCTGCAGTTCTCCCAAGATGGAGGAGGGTTTTGCCTTGTCATACATGCATTACCTGATAAGCTTGCCCGGATCGCATACAAGTTCGCGACATCCATTCATCCATCTCATGCGGCTGCCTTACAAAGTTTGATGTACAAAGCGAAAGGACACTTGGCCGTACAGCGCATGATGGCATTGGGGGAGGAGGATAACGGCGATCAATACACCATTTCTGCCCTCGCCACGCAAACACAGGCTCCGAAGTCCGGCAAATATTACGAATACTTGCAATATCTGGTGTCCCGAAGATATGGAACGGCCATTACTCGTGTGTTCTCAGAGGAAAATGGCATATCTGAGGAAGAATACATGCGTCGTAACCCAGTATTCGATGGTTTCACCATTGTAGATTCCGTTGAGGCTCTGAACGCCATGAACAACATGTTCCAGTCAACCGCACGCAAGGGAGGACCTCCGGATTTTATCTTTACCTACATCGATCATGGCAAACGCGGTCCCAAACTCAACCAGCCTCTTTGGTTGGGCCTTTTCGTTCGTTCACTGAAGCACACTTGGTTGTTGGACCTGAGGAAGATTGGCAGCCTGATCAAGTCTGATGTAGTGTCCTCTACTCCTGTTACTCTGGCTATACTTCTTGCCGACGGTGAGGTCAATAAGGTGTGCAATCATTCCGCCAGATTTACGACCGCGATGTACCATCATCTCGGAATTTCTCCCAGCGCATTGATTGATTTTCTGTTCATGCAAGAAAAGGTTCACGGCAAGGGGGCCAAGTTTCCTACGGCTTTCGATACAATCGGGTCGGCCCATAGCGTAAATTGGAGTTGGGTTCAATGGGCACATTATCAATATATGCACAGACTCCGGAAGTTCGAGGAGGGAATGGAAAGAATTTCTGAGTTAACGCTATCTCCCATGGCAATGCAGGCCGCTGTTTACCGAGTGCGTGGGATGCTAACAATGATATGGCAAATCTACGATGCACGACTTGGTATCAGAGAGGAATTGGAGATTTTGGAGGAAATCAATTATTCGGTTGCGAAGGCACTTGGTGCTGCTGGTAAACCACCTTCTGATCCAGAGGAGAGAGGTACCCGGAATCTTTTACCATCATGGCGATAGTGATATAAGTCACATCGAGGGTTTCTATCAACGGGTCGAAGAGCTTGTTTTCTGACTAGCACTTTCATTATGTTTATGATACTTGGCCTTTGTTACTGATCGAGATGGTGGTCAATTCTGTTTGTCTGACATCAAATCTGTTGGCATTGTGGCTATACAGCCTGGGATGAATCTGATGTTGAATAGAATAGTGAGGAGAATCATACAGACAGTTTTTTCTCGTGAAAGATGGCGGCATCATAAAGCTCATGCATGTGACTCAAATGAACCATGAACAATTGTTACACTTCTACTAAATGTAGTTATCAATACAAGCTGCGTCACGCAGACGGGGATGTGTCCACGACAATAAAACAAGTCTTTTAAGAGAAGGCTTGGATTTTCTGCAGGTTTTAAAAGGGGTAGAAATAGATTCAATTTCATAATTAACCAGAAGAATCATTTCGTCAGTTTTATAAGTTGCAAAACCCCAAACCCCAGATCTATCCAAACTCCTACCCACCTCGTTAAGCATAACGGAATTCCCATCGCCTAATCAAAGAAGCAGTCAGTATTCATTCAAAATCAAGTTGGGAGAAAGAGATTCAAGTCTTACCACTTAGTTGGCCAAGCAGTATGGGACATCAGCGATATACCCGCAGTGGGTGTCGGTTGGGCAGTCACCAATCTTCAATTTCTGAAGAGTTTTGTCGCTTGCATAACCGCATTGGACCTATACACCAGATTAGCGACTGTCTCACATGGTATTGGGGAATATTCTCATCCAGATACTTACAACGCCATTGAAGAGGGTAGGATCAGCACACTCGTATTGGCCGAAGGTGCAGGTACTCGGATGAGGAACAGCGCTGGCGCCAGCAATGAGAGCAGCAAGGAGAACGGTGACAATTGTGAATTGCATTTTGATTGTGTTGTTGGTTTTTTCTTTGAAGTGTAGAAGCCTAGAAGGGTGTTTTATTTTTCTTTCGTTGCTATTGTTCGGAATGTTGTGAATTGGAGATTGAACTGGCGGCTCAGCCACTCTTTTATAGATTCTTACCTCTTCGATTGTAAACCTAGTTCCAAGCTGGAGAGATGATAACCGTATCGGTGATCAATAGAGTATAGGGCAAATGGTGGCTAGCGGATGATACGAGATTTTAGCCTCCGTATATTGCACCTCGGAGGCTTCGGTGCCAAAAAAGCTTAAAGCTGAAAAACACGAGCATCGAGAAATGCGATACGAACAGCATGTCTACGATTTTGAATTATTGATTGGATCCAACAATATCAGCTGCGTCTCCTGACATATTCCCAGCCACCACTGAGATATGTGTTTCGCGAAGCACGGCTTAGTGGTCAGCTGACTGTTCTCTCGTGGTTCCAACCGACTTGATGTTGTTGCCCAGAAGGCTGAGTTATTACGTTTGAGCTTACTGTTATCGTCAGACTTTGTCTTTCTATCGTGTTCAAAACAGTGACATGACAAACAATCGAAGTAATACAACTTTTCAGTACGGAGTACAGAAGGCACTGGAACTGCGTCTCGCAATTTTCAAAGATTATATGACGCTATACTAAAACGTACATGCTAGTACCAGTAGCAAATTCTGGTGGGATACCAGAGCCACTTCAGTTTTGTCATTTTCGGGCATGTCTTACTATCTATGGACCTCTATCGAGTCCGAAATGGCTTTGTGGAGAATCCTCGTATTACACATTAGTAAAAGTCAATCCAGGTTAGACCGCGTTTTGACAGCAAAGACAGAATGAAACTCATCAACAGAAACCACATTTACAGCACTGAGAGGGACATAAATTGTCTTTTCAAGTCAAAGCTTATCAGCGTTCGAGGAGCCAGCCCTACCTCCTCAACTTGTCCTACCTCATCCTGCCTGCCTCCATATTTTCGGTCCTTTTACAAACTCTTGTTTTGGAGACGGCGAGGTTGGGCTATGACGTGGTTTGGGGTAGGTGCAATTAAAGATCAATAATTTAAGCTTTGTTTAGTTGGCTCACTTAGTCCATCTTCCCCTGTCCTCATTGGCACGTTTTTACCTCGTGTATCCTAGACAATAGGTTTCGGACCAGCACCAAACTTTGGAATCCTGACGTGAACGCTAATTCAATCCTTTCCTCTTCAAACACATCTTTGACATCGGTCAGTGGCGTCCATTTCTCTCTTGGAAAAATCTTCTAGGCTCTTGTATAATTTGGTTCGTCGTGTAACTCCACACGACTCAGAAGAGGAAACTGATCCTTCTTTCTGTCTGCGATTTCCAAGACCCACCGAATTTTCTGGTCCCCTATAGACCTATTTGTCAAATCTTATCACCATTAATCTTTACCTTTATAAAAATGCCCGATTTCATCTTGAAATGCTATTTGAACGGATTAAAGTGAGTGCAGTGTAAGTTGAAACTAGTTGCTCGGGCAAAAGGGTATAGGGATTTTCAGCGAAAGAATATTGGGAATCCGACTGATGTTAAAAACTGGAGCAACTTACCAGAAGCGTCTCAAGCAAAGTAGGAAGTAATTGATGGATTCCATCTCTCCACAAACCTTTGGCTAAGGGCTTCAAAAAACACAAAGCAGTGATAGACAAATATTCAAGAGCTCGAAAGCCCTTCAAATTCAGTCGTGTGCCATCTGAACTGGTCAAAATGGTGAAAGTACTGTTTAAACACAACGCTCTAATGTTGTCTCGATACTTGCGCCAAAGCATCACCAATCTGAGCAGTACAAAATGGTTCTACTCGATTCCTCGCTTACGGGGGAGGGCTATCACGAACTGCCTCCTGTATTGCCGCCTAGCATAGAGTGGAGAAGAAAAAGCCAGCCTATTCAGCCTATTCTTGCATCTCAAGATTCTCTTTAGTGCCAATACTGGAATCCCAAAACCTAGAGCAAGGTATTGCAAGTTATTGTGCCGAAGTGCGAGGTTAGAATCCGGCCTCCTCCTTAACCCGAGTCTTAACACGGATAAGGCAACATGGCAAGTTTCTCACAGACACAGTCAAGTTACACTATCACTTACAGATACAACATGTTTTTTATCGAGGGTAGACTATATTTACATATTTATTAATGGCGTTTTTACGGTAATCTTACTTGCAGATACAGTATCGCCCGACTCGGTTGTTTTCGTGGCCGGTCAGAGTTCGATTGATTTTTCCCTTTTCTTTCCTGGCAACCTCGTCTTTTCTTCTTCGAAGATTCTGGCATTAGTCATAGTTCAGATACTGTACATTGTCAGGAATTATCACCTCCCTCCTGCTGATCTCGATTTTTTGGGGCTGCTTCTGCAAAGCTTTTTTAAGCTGTGCCTTTTCTTTTCTCTTCAGAATTCTCTTGCCCAACTTACCTGGTGTCTTTTTTGCTCTATTTATTCGTGCAATATTAGCAGTCTTCGTGGCGCCTTCTGGCTTTTGTACTTGTTGGGGTTCAACATTTCCATAGTTCTCCTGTTGCTGGCATTTTAAAGCACACTTCCAGCACTTACTCGGGATAGGCTCTGGAACCTCTATTTCACCCGTGCACGCAATGCCTGAGCCAGCTGGAGGTTCGCAAGACCAGATATCCCCAACAGTTCCTTTATGACCGCAAGAATGGAGTTCGATAGGCCAGCGACACATTTTATTTGTTAAAGATGGGGTCTAGGGAGTTGTGGGAAATCATCCCTGCGGACGTTACGGAATCAAGTACCTCACATATGTTTCTGTTCTTGGCCTTCCAAGTTCCGTTTACGAGGGGCACATGGAAGGGGCTACATTGTTTTGAATCAATTGTCCCTTTGTCCAATTACAAAGGGCCATCCTTTGATCCTAGAGTTTGAATGATGTCTGTCGCTTTCGCTGCATTCGTTCTTTGTCTGGTGTGAACCCCTCCAAGCGAAAAGTGCTTGCCCCATTTTCTTTGTACCAAATAAACGCCCAACGGAAACGAATTGAAGATTGAAACGAAGGCTATACTCTGCTGAGCCACTGCATCATGGGCGACACGTTTTTTGCTCAATTGGAAACCTTGGGTGAACGGGAAAATGTGCTTATGCTGTTTTCTTGTTGCTGACACCTACCGACAACATCGGTTTCTAGGTACATTTGCCACCCATCTGGCATCCTCTTTTCAGATTTGCTTACCTCGATTTAGGCCTACACAGTCTTGTATCCGGTTTGCTTGCCAGGGAACTTGAGTAATTTCAAATGCCCCTTCCACACGCATTTCCGGATCTAGATCAGGCAAATCCCATTCACGCAATTTACCGACAGGGAAATTGGACCAATCCCCGACCTTTACATATACCAAATCGTCCGGCATGTCTACTGATTTCCGTTATTTCCTACCTCCCAACATCGACAATGTAGTTTCTGATTCATCAATATTGCAAATTACAATCGAGCCAAAGTTAACTTTGAGTTGAGAATAGATTGGAGGAGTTCATGAAGGCTTCTGGGAGGTATGGCGCAGATTTTCTCAGTGGCCTTTCCGAGGTCCAATATTGATTTTCTGCAGGCAAGTAATCCAATTGTATGGAGAGCCTTTTATCCGGCTTTACAATTAGCCACTAGACTACTTGAAATTGCTCTTAAATTCCCGTGGTATGCTTCTGATAATGATGACCATTCAACTTCTAACATGTCTGACTCTTCATGTAGGCGGAATCCACGTGTTTTTCGTGAAGATGGCAGAAATACGATTGCATCGGAAGAATTGACGGTCAAGCTCCGAAAGACGGATCTTTTCAATCCTCGGTATCAAGAAGCTCGTCACGTTATGGACCAAACCTTGAGATATCTCGCAACGAAGACGGTATTCTGTCTTTGGAGTGGACATACCAAAGTACATAGCGGCATGCCTTCCACAAAGGTGACTTTTTCTAACACACATACGATTCGTGACTCGAATGGAGAAGAGCAGTATCTGGTTACACTCGCTTACGAGACGCTTGAATTACTGTTGATGAAAAACCAAACCTGTGAGGAGTTGGCTGTGAACAAATTCATAGTAGCTTCTTGCTTGGTACATGAGACAATGGTACTACTAGTAGCTTCTGTGTAAAACTCTTGTAGCAAGCAGCTGATGTGCGTTTTAGGATTTGGTCTGGAAAATGTTATCTAGAAAAGGATTTGAACTTAATCTCGTAGATGAATTTGTTTTCAAGCCGTTAGTGAGCGAATAAGTCCCACGTACCCAAGGATATAGAAAACCGATATCTGCGTTAGAGAAACGACCTACCTTTTTGAGCTACGACAAGCCACAGCATCGCTGGAGCGATTTGTCGACTTGCAATCTGTGGAATATTGGGATGTCTATACACGGGTGTAGGGCTGTTTATTTCATGCAAAAAAAAGCAGCGAAACTGATTCTATTGCAGGTATGGCATCCCATCAGCGCTCGTGGACTTTGAATCGCACAGAATAGACTGGTATGGGTGAAGATTTGCCTCCTAATCGAAATTGGCTAATATCAAAACAGGCTTAAAAAAGATCTGGTAGGGCAACAGAGCAAGGTACCTCAAAAATTTGGCATCCTTAACATTTACGATGAAATCCGGGCCAACCCTTCATTGAGAGATGATTTGAAAGCACCAAGATCTCACAATGAGCGCCGGAAAGCACCAAATATTATCAAATCGAAATCGCATAGCAAAAGAGATACTCTACAGCTGGCATCTGCAGAGGAGCTCGTTCTCGAACTACCCCTAAAGCTCGCTCGAGAAAACGTACCGACATGTCCGATCTTCAACGAAATCGTCGCCTACCTATTCTCAAAAAGAAGTGCCCTAGCCATAAACAGCATGAACTTTTGGATACCGGCCAATACGCTTTTCTGTTATATCTTAAGAGAGGGCGGACTTCCTGGTTTCGACTATGAGACATGGAAATCGTTTCTTCAAGTTTGTAAATATAACAATTTTATCTTCCGGTGAGGTTTTTGTTTACACGTATCTCAGTATTTATTTTTTTCTAAATGGAGTCCAGGTACAAGGAGGAAGGAGCTGGAATGGTTCATCGGATTGCAAAGGACTGGCCACGTGAATTGTTGGATCCTAGGCTAGCACCTAGAATACGTATGACAAGGGCTTCCATTATTAAGCCCTTTCTGAAGCTTGCAGGGAAAGTTGAGAAAGTTGAGGTATCGCTGTCCATTTAATTTTTGAGAGGGATTTATTTTCATGCTGAATGTGAGATATGCTAACTCTTCTCCAACCCCAGAAGGTGTTCCAAGACGGCTTCCTAGACCACGACAAAGAAGATTTCCGGAACCTATGTAATCTCCACCTGGCGAAATCACCCAAACTACAGAAAGAGTTCTCCTATTGTGGCCGAGGAGTTGTCACAAAGCTTAGCAGAAGGGCCTTTGATGAGTTATTGTTTCGATGTCATGGGTATAGGGTGGGATATACGTGAGTAGCTGTATCTTAGCTCTAGAGTAAGCGTAAATCCTGACTGTGGTGATCTAGATATGGACCGGAAGGGATTATACGAAAGCTGGACAAGAGCCTAGAACATATAGTAGACTAAGCCAGTCGTAGCGCTCAAAGTTCAAGTAAGATACAAAAGTGAGGTGAGGGAGGCCAGAAATGGAAATTTGCCAGGGACCAAAGAAAGCTTTGAAAGGTTTTGCGCAAATAGTTAATGCCCTAAAAGAAGAGAATGATACTGTATCTAATGAGTCTCCACAAGACAATAAATTCAAGCGAGAAAGCATATCAAAACACACACAAAGCCACAAGAAATTGGCTGAGTTCAACCCACGAGATTGGACGGGCCCTCGTAGATTTCAAGTCACCTGAGGCCGACGATGGTTTCGAGGAAGATAAAGTATATCTAGCTTTGGAAATGTTTCTGTAGAGAATAAGGACGAAGACGCTGATTCAAACCCCATTGTATGCCTGACAAAGGAAAGCCTAGCAAAATACATGAAAGATCCTGGGTCATTTGAAATTCAGGGACAGTAATCGAGGTTTCCTAAGACAAGCTGGACCGAATAAAGGCCATTCCCAACTATCACGATCTTTACAGCCCAAGGACAAAAGATCTGTCAGTGTCGCTTTATGATAGTAAATGATTATTAGCTAGCTCCGAGCGTAGCTGCTCTTTCGGGACTAGCGTGCTCTACTAGCGTACTATGGCACCTATAAGTACGTAGGCACTTAGCTAGCTACACTTGCTTAGATAATATAATATAATATAGGACTTAGTTATACCATATAATATAGGTCTATTGTATTACCCATGTATTAACGTAAAGTTGAACCAACAATAGGAGATTCTCTAGAACAATATCTTTTTCTAACCTAGGTGTACAGAGCGCCCAACTGTCTTACAGTAATGTTATTGGGAATAAAGTCATATTATTGAGGTTATCTAGATCACTATTGGTCGCAATGTTTTCACAGAGGCCTGTGACCGGGCGAAGATTCATACCTAATAGATTAGGGCGAGGATTTCCTCTAGGCACCAACCAACCGGCAGATTTGTCTAAGTTTCCACCAGTCGGAGAACTCTTGTGGATGTTTGGTACTCGGCGACTGTTCATATCTGGGAACAACGGAAGGCGAGAGGCTCATGGGGGTACCGAAAGATCGACAGGGTCGTTTGAGACAGTACTAGTCGGAACAATATCGCTACGGTCTGTAGTACTGTTTAGCTGAGTTGACCGAGGTGGTTGAACTAGGAACTTACCATCAGATCGAGAAGAATTCGCCATCTTCTCGAGTGTGTTTCTCTTGTATTTGAATTGCTCATTCTCCTTCTTCTGCTACCAATTAGAATGGCAATCATCAGGCGACGAGGGAGAGAAAGACTTACCAGGTCCTCCATACTGAACAGCGCCCAGTATGGCGCAATGAGGCTTCGGAGTGTCGCGATGACCTTTTCATCCTCGGATTGCCCGAGTGGGCCTTGGTTGCGACCATCGTCGTCGATCTTGTGGCTTAAGTCAGTATATCGCATTCAAGATTGTGTTCCAAAAAAGCATCCTACCAGAAATTCGATGATGAAAATAGTCTGAATTTGTACTGCTTCCTGTACAAATATAAGTATAATTAAAACGTATCATGGATGGTGGGATAATTACTGCGTCGAAAAACAGTCCGTGAAGCATGTGTCGGCAGAACGCCTTGTCCGCCTTAAATGCAGCAAGCTATTGGAGTTGTTAATGATGTCTACTAGCACAGGTGATGATCATATCCACTTGCCTGCCAGGCTGAAGGGGGGGGTTTTGTTCCCCGAAAGCTTTTGCGACGCGGACTCGATCCATTGATGGAGGAGATAGCTCGCAATTATTACGTGCTGTTTATCACCTCGGTAGTCCATGATGGGCCGCAGTCTGATATTATCTCTCGGAGAACAGGTAGTGTTGTTAGCACGTTGTAGGTTGGTCGGTGGCAATTTCGCAGTATTTGAGAATTGTTGTGTTGTGGGAAAGGAAGTTGGTGTGTGCGAAGGATGGGCTTCAACTTCAAGTACTCGCGTAAACGCCTTTGTTCTCACGCGAGGCGGACGTGACCGTGGCGACCAGGTTCGAGTGTTGGCTGGGAGATGCTGGGATAGACCCTTGTCTATGGCGCTCCTATCCCTCCACCAGCCGGTCAAGCCCACTAGAAACCGAAAGTCATCCGTCGAGTTGACATCAGGATGGAACCCAGCCAACTTTCTGGAATCAGATGCTTCGCGAGGCTTCTTCTGACTATAGCAAATCATGTCAATACACCCCGACCTCGATCTGTAACCGGACTGCAACTTCCACCAGCGCCCACTCTTGAAGAGTCGAACCGCAAACAAATAAAAAGAAACGCTCGGATCTTTCGTGAAGAAAATGGTATGCTACTGCTTGATGGAGCTCACATGATTAAGATGCTGAAGGAGATGGGGATGTAATTCTTCTTCTTTTGCAAATAGAAAATGAATTTGACAATAGTTATTTGCCAGGAAAGAAAACATATTTCATGCATTTGACACTTGATTGTAATCAAAGCCACAAGCCAGACACACCATTCACGAAACAGCCAGTAACTCCGAGGACGTCACTAAATGTGCACTCCACATCTCAACACCTCGCTCAAAAATCACAAAAACATACCACATCAAATAGTCGCAAGCTGCCGTAAACGCCCCAAACCTTGACACTTAATATTCCGCATTCGAGATTTTCTCCAAAAGCGCCTGGTGTCTTTCCTTCTCCATCTCTTGGTGTGCATCATACTCGGAGACAACCCATGATCTGCAATCTCTGTCTTGCGGAAGGAGCCATTTCGAGGCTCGGTTGGCCTTTTCGAGTCGACGTTCGGATTGCGAAGAAGCTTTTGAGGCATGAGCGGTATTGGGATTTCGAGTGTATTGCATTGTCTTTGTTCTGGCGGTAAGTGCAAGTTGAGATCCGACCGTTTGGAGTCTGCTCCTGAAGGCTTGAGTCCCGGTTGGCGCTTTTTGAGTTGCCATGGTTTTTGAAGGCTCTGTACTTGGTGGTGAAAAGTAAAGAAACTCGAATTGGTGGACAATAGCCGATATCAAATGGGTTTGAAGTGAGGCAAAGGAGATGATGGCGTGGCTATTCGTTGGCGCTTAGGCAAAGCGTAGTCGCGTAGGAGATTTCGGCAACAAGATGGTCTGATGGATTTGAAGGGTCGGCGCAGATGGGAAAACCCTTGACCAGAATTTGATTGTGGCGCTTTGGATTGCGAGTCTGAAGTTACGAAGAATGGTGTCGCGTTCGGATGATAGATGATAGAAGTCTCAAATGTTGTCTTGCTGGGCCAAAAGCACTGCTGGAAAGAAGAAATTGCTGATACTGAGAGAAGTGAGATACTCATCAAATGTTGTATTGGTATTGCTGTAGTAGTTGTTGGAGAGAATTGTTGTCTTGGAAAAAGATCAGGGAAGTATTCAATTGAAGTTGAGTGTTTTGCGACTGAGAGTAATGAAGGTAGAGTTATACTTATAGTTGGCGGACCGTGAACACCAAACAAATAAAGCGGTGTTACTCGAGGGCGACAACAAGGGCGAGACTCGAAATAATCCTCACGATATGTTTTCAAACGGCGGTGAACTTGAAAACAATCTCATCATTCAGCCATGTGACTATCGTGAGGAACGGAATGTATCCCAATAGGTTGCGAGAGTGTTTTATTCGCACTTTCTGTAACACAGCGTTTGATGACGATTCAAAGTATCAGTGGTGGTGATTGATGGAGAAGGCCCCGGAGAATCAATGCCGTGAGAACGTGTGTCGTGGCCATGATTAAAAGAAGGGCGATGAGCGGCGCCCTAGGGGCAACAGGGCGATTGCAAACTTGAAGTTCTCCAATCAAATTCGTCCATTGGGTTTGAAAACATAACGCCATCTTTGAAAACAAGATACGAGTGACCAAAAGGACGTTCTGTTCGAGTGAGAATGTAGGTCGAAATGAAGCGCATATCTCAAGTCACAAATAACCGACAATCGCAGCTGTATCGGAGTATTCGTTTTACCATAGCTGCATCTCCTCAAGAGCCGAGCCGAGCGTGTAACAATAAAAACTGCAAAAGCATGACTTGAGACAGTCATCACCTTCCTATATGAAAATTAGCAGCAAGCTCGTTGTGTAACCGGGGTGTTCAGGTCACTTCCGCGCTGGCGGCAGACCACCTATTCCACAAAACCTGTCTCTGTCGTCAATAGAGGTTGCACAGCTTGTTGCGGGGTATAGACTAAACTCAAAACGGGAGACAGAATGATAATCCCTATCTGTGTATCCTGCATGTGAGATCCGTTGTGACTTGTAAGCTTCGTGGGGATTAAATAAGTTCGGAAATCTTTCCCCATGGCCATTTCTGCCTTACACAAAGATTGGGCCGAAGGTGGCCGTGGTTTGCTTAGTACAAGTAGTCGAAACTTGGTGACATCTCGGGTCTCGGCTGGCTTGAATTTCCCGCGAAATAGAGTCAAGTGAGGAGTCGGCATGGCGAATCGGTACGAAAGCTCGACGTAGTGGAAGAAGAATGGAGGTAACGTCTCATGAAAATGCATGATCGGAAGCTGTTGAAGCTTTCACTGGGGGCAATTTCCGAAAACGCCAGATCTGTGGACCAGCGATCACTTTTGATGGGTTTTAATGAAGTTGTCGGGGAGCGAGGTTGATGTCCGCTGGCTTCCTGAGATTCTCGCTAAGCCATTAGAGCCCAACTTTTAGCGAAGTCTACTAACCTGCATAATTCGTTTTCCTTACACTTAGCAAGAAATCAAACATGATTTGGAAGTGATAACAGTAAAATTCATGAGATGTACATACAGCTAGCAGAAACCCTTTTTGGTCGAGGTATGTGGTAAATAGGCCCTGCCTCGAACAACTCGGAAAACGTTCCTAACGTGTATTCGGTACCAACAACGATATTAAAAGATAAATGGTCTGGGGGAGTATTTGAACTTGTGGTCTGATTCAGAGAGGCTAAATTAATTTCAAAATTAGTTCCGAACCTTAGCTACTATAAGGTACCTACCCCGGACTTTTCTGTCTAACAAACATCGTTTCTTTATGGAACAGGACACAAAGACTATTAGAGACCTTCGTATAAGGATTCGGGATACGCCTAAATCTCGGATTCCATAACATTCAATCAAACAACTCCTCACAAGTATTATGTACATACGAGTAGGCTGTACGTTCAATCAACTCACAAATGATATACACTGTGAAATACAACATAATAGAAGGCTAAAAAATCCATCAAAAAAGTCACATGAAGCAACAACCTCCACACTTCTCTCCCCAAAAAATCGTCAAAGAAGCATACATAAGCAATAACTTTCAGAGTTCTCTCGCCAAAAGAAACATTAAAAAGAGAATAATAAGCAATAGCCTCCAGACTTCTCTTCCCACAAGACCTATCAAAAAAGTAACAACAAGTAATAACCTCCACACTTCTCCCCAAAAAACCTTCAAAAAAGTATCATTAAGCAATAACTTTCAGAGTTCTCTCTGACGGGGAATCGAACCCCGGTCTCCCGCGGCTTGTAAATTCCCGATGATAGGAAATCTGACAAGCGGAAATCATAACCACTAGACCATCAAAGACGTTTTGCTTGTAGGGACTAGGATGTATTATTTAGATGTATATTAGTTTTAGCTTTTGTGGGATCATGTGCTTACCCCGCAGTGGTTTTGATGGGTTTGATTGGCTGAAATCTGGTGGCGAGTGGAGTGGGGAGGGTGGTTACATGACTCGTACTCGACGACTCGTGCGGCAAAAGTGAAGCGAGCGGGGCGAGCTCTTAATTTGGGTCGAAGTTAGTAATTATTTTACTTGGTTAGTAATTATAATAACTTGTAAGAATAAGTAGATAGCGAAAATTAATAGTTTATATTTTATTCCAACCTTTAATAATTTTATTTCCTATTTATATAGATTTCGCTTAAAAAAAGAAGTACTTTAGTAAACGTAGTAGAAATTATTAGAGGTCCTTATATATAAATAGTACACTTATTTCCACCGAATAGGCTCTAGAATTCTATAGAACTATAGAATTCCAAAGTATATACTAAAGTTAATAGCTTATTTATAACACTATTATTTACTAACTTCAAGCGCTAAGTAAAGGAAAGGATTTCTATTAGTCTTCGGATGAGGAAACTTTACTCTATATTATATGAATTTGGTTCTATAGAATGCTATAGAATTCCTCTATACATATAGAATAGTATATTCTAGAGATTAGTACAAATGGCATGGTATATTATATAGGGGGGTCTGGTATGGAATGGAATTCCAGTTGCCGAACGCTGAAAGAGAGCTGTATTCCAATGACTGACCAGCTAAGATACTTAGGTAGGAGCATGGCCTATATAGCCCTAGCATATACTCCTGTACCTAGTACTTGCTAGAATATTACCGAATAAATCCATCCGGTCCTATCCCATGAGGTAGATATCACTTGTTAGACCTACTAATAACAAAACCTTATCTTGATAAATCAAGACATAATTAGTACTGTAAAAACTTCGCTCTATCTTATATACTCAATAGACATATATCTATACCTGCCAGAGCAATATTTCCTCGATCAGAAAAAGGAAAGGAAACCCCCATTATGTTTAAGTGAAAAGAAGAGTCTACTAGTATTATTTCCTTCAATTATTAAACTACCCAAAAAACAAAACGTAGACGTATTCCTCACACCAAAAGTCTCCTCAACAACAAACCATCCATCTCCCATCTCCCTCAGACCCAAAACCACAATATCCCCTTCATCCCCACCCTCTTTCTCCCACCTCTTCCTCCTCCTCTTCCCAACTCTTCCAGTAATTCCACATACCTCCAACTAGCTCCCTCCATCCCTCACCCAGAACGATAGTATACCCGACAGAGGTAAATTATCCCAAACTAACATGAATACTATACCACTACTCAAAACTTCACCATAACAGCTCGCCAAGTCCATCCCTTCAATACCCGACAAAGGTAAATCATATATATCCCAAGCTCAAGCTAAAGGGAATACCAGATACCACTACTCAAAACCTCACCATAACAACCAACCAAGAACCTCCCTTAAATCCAACAAGCGGACGTATTTACCTAATAACAGAATACGGAAATATAAATTCAACTTGAAAAAACCACACTTCTTCGATCTCGCTCTAAAAGTAGGGGGTAGATATATAGTATATTGAGTATATAGAGTAATAATATATATACTATATCACCTACTAATTAACTAAACCCGTTTTATACTAAAGGATACTTACGTACCATATTACAATTCCTTAACCCCCTAACTTTACCACATACCACATAACCATATCACATAAGTCCACAATCCCACCAACAGAAATATAAATAACACCCTACTTCCCACTTCCCACTTCCCTCCTCAAATCTCTCTCCCTCAAAAACACACAAAACAACTACATGACCCCACACCAACCAACTACCTAACAACATCCTCAACCCCTCAACCCCTCAACCCCTCAACCCCTCAACCCCAAGTCCCCCCACATCCCACTT